CCAAAAACAAAAAGTGACGGCCTGCCAGCTGTTTCACGTGTACACAAACTGGACGACCACCAACCAGCATCTTACCATCGTGATTACCGCAGCAGCCACTGCGGTGCTGAGTGCTGTCCCCGGGACAACACTGCTCAGCGATGTACTCACATCCACAGCCACAACAAAGCTTTTACCGACTGGCTCAATATTCTGGAAAAGAAAAAAAAAACTATTGCTGATGCTTGTGGACGTTGTTGATGATTCGTTCAAACCTACCGAGAAACTCTTATAGAAGGCAATGTCCAGGGCTTTGAGGATGCTGCCATCTGCTGCCCATTTGGTTTTACCCTGATAGCCTTGACCTCTTTTGTAGTGCTCAGAAGCCAAGAGGATACTGAAAGGGTGCAGCTTTGCCTAAAGGGAACAACACACTTGAAAAGTAATCGGCTATCGAATAAAGTTGCACGTACATGACATTATTTGTGTGGGTGGGGAGGAGGGGGTGCAGGTGCATGGTTGATACCTTCTTTAGTGCGGCCTCCGTCTGCATTCTCTCACACAATGCTTGGGTTTCCGAAGCCCCTGGTTGAACAATCTTTCTGGCAGTCATCTTTCCTAGCATCCATAGAACGGATTGAAGCGGCATTTCCTTCAACAGCGCCCTCCAAACCTCGAAAGAATCACGGGAGGATTGACAATGCACGAAAGCTGCCCATGAAAATTAATTTCTGCAATTCAGTGGAATAATGCGACCACACTCACTAATTTGGACTTGAGGTGGTCGGTAAGAAGCTGCTCCCGCTCCAATTTGTGCTCCTCGATCAAATTGATGACCTCGGTTTCATCGCAACTGTGCTTGACCTTCTCCACCACTTCAAGATATAAAAGCACTTTGACGACCTCCTCTGTGTTCTCTTTATCAGCATAGGCAACATGGACCTCTTTCCATCCTTTTGCAACATATTTGCTGATCAAAGCAAGAGCTGAGAAAAAAAAAAAAAACACAGAGAATCTGTCTCACTTAAAAAAAAAAAAAAAAAACTGCAGTCTTTTGTGTCCAAACACAAAATTGTGAAAAAATAACTTTGCAAGATGGGGATGTGTCCAAATGGACACAAGAAAATGCAGTGATGGAACATCGCATAACTATTTTGTTTGGCGAGCTGGTTCAACATTTAAATGTTAAGTTTGAGGAACTGAAATTAACATTGTCAATCACACTGTCTTTATCATTTGCTGTAATGAACTTACGAATAGTTTGGAATTTTCATTCATACTATCTGTAATGTGAGTCAAATTGTGAGTCGTCCAAAAAACAAAGTGCTTCCTGGAATTCACTTTCACAGCGTCAAAACTGAATTACAGATACAGATCTGCGGAGTCATTTCGATTGGATCAAATGACGTCACTTTTGCCATTCACTTAGATGATGTTTGTCAGTTTAACAGGGCTTGAGACTACAACAAAAGTGGTCGCATAGTTTACCTTTTGTTCACCGTGTGCGAGTAAGAAATGCATCTGGTCGCATCCATGTGGATACATGTTTTTTTTTTTTTTTAATGCTCCCGATAACATCCATCCTTTTTCTGATCCACTTTATCCTTACAAGGGTCACGGGGGTGCTGGAGCCTATCCCAGCTGTCTTCGGGCAGTAGGCGGGGGACACCATGAAACGGTTGCCAGCCAATCGCTGGGCACACAGAGACGAACAACCATCCGCGCTCACACTCACACCTAGGGACAATTGAGACTGTTCAATTAGCCGGCCATGCATGTTTTTGGAATGTGGGAGGAAACCGGAATACCCGGAGAAAACCCGCGGAGGCCCGGGGAGATCATGCAAACTCCACACAAGAAGATCCGGAGCGGGGATCGAAAACATGACCTCTGCACTGTGAGGTCGCCGCGCTAACCACTGGCCCTCCCTATAATATAAGAACTGCATTCAGTGCTTCACACATACGCACAGGAACACATACACACACAACAACACAACA